CTTGGATGTATTCTCGTTGGACAATTAAATCAACGTATAATGGTTGATTTTAAATTCTTAAATTTTTTAATTAATTTAAAGGTCCTAAACCTTAGGGAGATATTAAATGACTTTTTTTATCTAGTGTGATCTCTAATTTTAAAAGGGTAAAAAAGATGAATACATTTCGCTAAGGGTCTTCGTGCTTTTAATATAGTATAGATTTTTACGTGTAAGATTTACATACAGTAAACTCTTAATATTTTTAAAGATTTTGAACTTTTTACATAATTTAAATAAGAAAAGATTTAATAAGTAAATTTTTAATTAATTTTAAACTCATAAACGTAAATTTGTATAAAGTAAACTCTTAACAGTTTTAAAGTTCTAAATGGCAGGACTTTCTGCATAAAACAATAAGAAAGATTTTAATGCGTGAAATTTTAATTCATTTAAACAGTTAAATATAAAAAAACAATTAATTGATTATTCAAGGTACTTGACACACAAAAAGCCGTTAGTTTAAGTTTCAATCTTCTATTCATTTATTAAGTTGGTAAATATTAATTCATTGTAGAAATGTATCTGTTGTTAATGAAGGGATAGGGAGAAAACGTGATAAACGCACTTAGATTTTAAAGTTCTAAATATTAGGATTTTCTACCAAATTTAAATAAGGAAGGATTTAATACATAAAATATAACAATTAATTTTCAAATCCTAAATATTAGGAAAATGATTTAAATGACTATTTTGTCTAGTGCAAAATTAATTTTTAAAGAATAAAAAAGGCGAACGATATTTCGTTAAGGGCCTTCTTACTTTTAATATAGTATATAGTAGATATAGATTACTTCTTTATCCATACGACTACACCAAGTATGGAGTTATTTTATCAGCTTTGAATTTTGTCGATATATATTGTTCATGTACAAAGAATGATGTCGGGCATACGCACGGGCACCAACATCTAGTTAGAATTAGAATTGCTAGTAATCGTTTGGATAGTAGGCCACATTAAAAATTAGCTTTAACTAATACTAACATGTACTATTATAGAAGTATTATTTTATACAATTAAAGTATTTTAATATGTTGTATTTTATAGGAATATGTTTTATATTTAAATTATTAATATCACAATTATAATCAATTGAGTTTATATGATATATACTGTCATCACAAAAAAAATTATACTATAAAATTATATTTTCTTGATGTAACAGGTAGCGATTTATCTTATTTTTAAGTAAAAAGTTCTTTTGGTGATATATAGTGTAATTGTTTTCAAAAATATTGACCATGTAATAACTTAAACTCTATAATAATTATAGAGGTCTACATTCACCGGCCAAGTGTCAATGCAGGAGAGGACCTTTGCGTCTGAATAGAGGGCCTACTTTCACGTGGCCCAACTTAAAATCCCTCCCTGTTTCCATCTTCTTCTCCATCTCTATATATACCTCCTCCTCCTCTCCCCATTACTCCTCTCATATATGTTGTAACCCTAGAATAACCAGAGAGTCGAAGCTAGAGAATTTCAGTTCGCCGCTGCGGAAGCTCCACAACCAATTCCTTCCGCTGCTGCGTTCTTCCTTTGAAATTCTTTCGCTCCGATTCTAACCATTAAGAAAAATGGCACGCTCTTTCTCTAACTCCAAGGTCCTCTCTGCTGTTGTGTCCGACTCTGTTTCTGCTTTTCTTTGCAGGTAATAATCGAAACATCCTTTTATGTACTGATGATATGAATGTTACCAACCCCTTTTCCCCTCCATGAAACAGAGGCAATCCAATAATTTTAAATTGGTGAGCGTGATTAGCGCAATTTCTCTGTGAACCTATATATATATAGCATCTGATTCATATACCGTGGTGCGTTCACAGTATTATTATAAAACTAGGCAGACCTAAAACAGGGGATAGGAGGAGTCTGAATTTTTATTTTTGTTTTTAATTTCGGTGATTTGCGGCGATGCTCGATGTGATTGAGATGTTTTTTTTTGACATGTGTATGTGAATGTTGTATGTGTAGGCGTGGATACGCAGCGGGATCGCAAGGGGCGCTTTCAGGCGGTGCAAAAGGAGGAGTGCCAAGGAGCAACATGATAATGAATAAAAGTGGAGAGGAATCAGTGAAGACATCATGGGTGCCAGATCCAGTTACCGGTTACTACAGGCCAGAGGGAGTTGCTAATGAAATTGATGCTGCTGAGCTTCGAAAGATGCTTTTGAAGCACAAACCGAGAAGCAACTGAAAAGCCATTGGATTAAAAGCAAAGCTGTGTCTTTATCGGATTTTTTTGTGAAATCTCCTCCTCGATGCTTACTGCTTTTTAAAATTGTAAGCTTAATATTGTTCTCCTATCTCTATCTTTTATTTGTGCAAAATGAACAACTTATGAAAAGAAAGCTTGTAGTAGTTAAATTCCGGTTCTTAGCTAGTATTTAGTTTTTGAATTAATCTTGAGTAAACAATCTGTACGATTTTACTGAAAAATTACAGTTATTCAGCGTTCGTAAATTAAAATGGTCTATAAAAACTTTATAAATCAAGTTCTTTTCCTTTTATTTTGCCTACTGCATTTACTAACGTAACAAATAGGAAGAGCCCAATACTATTTTAACGGACATAAATGTGAGCGGATGAGCTCACGACTAGTGCTTTCATGCGAATATGAAGGTGTATTTTATGTTGGTTTAAGTTCTGTGTACGGCTATACTTTGGTCCATTTTAGCTTGACATAACATTCATTTGTGTGATGTCTAAATATATTTGATAACAGGAAAAACGAACATCTGTTACAACTTTTTTAATCATATCCTAGTACTTCATATATTTGGTATGACTAATATAATGTAATAAGTCCAACGACATCTTAAACTTAATTAAGAACAATATAAAATACAACAGGATTTTTGACCCCAATAGAATAATCCTTCTTCATATTTGAATTTTCGAAACAAGTCAATGGCATATACAGGAAAATAAATAGACAATAGACAATGTGACATTCATTCTTCCGTATCATCTGAATTCGCAAGCTAATCATTCCCTTATTTCACTGATTGGTCTATATATAGAATTTTAATAATACATTATACGACCATTAATGCAGTCAAACAAAAATAAATGGAGAATATTTATAAGCACCCAAATAAACGGAGAATATTTATAAGCACCCAATATTTACTCCAAATTGATGAGTGTCACACATTGTTTTTCATAGACACTTATCACCTATTCACGTTTAAGTTATATGCTTTTGCTCTAATTTGTGATTATTAGATTTTTTTTTTTAATTTGGTGTGAATACATATTGCATACTCCATCGTAAGGCCCTTTTTGTATATTATATGCCCCTTCACTTTGTCGGTTCTCCCTCATATTGTTTGTCTTCCGAAGATGGCAATATGCTTTTGAAACGACGAGGGGGCGGCCAAAATTTAGGTACATATTAATCAAAGGCTGTAATAAGCCATTGACTTGGCATAATCATCGAAAGCACGAATAACTTCTGAAAGGCTACCGTTGCTTACGCAAAGGTTAAAGCCTATGATTAGCCATAGAACAAGCAAGTAAAAGTACTTAGCTCTTTTTTGTTCTTTGTGGACTTCGCTCTTCTTGACCCCATCAGCCAAGAGGCCCACACCTTTGTTGGAATTGGTACTATTTCTTTTGAGCGTAGAATCGGGAGCAGATTATCTTTCAAAGCAGTATTTGTGTTCAGGTCCCTTTTTGGAAAAAGCTTACTCATGCTGTCTAATCATAGCCAAGTACTAATATATTGATGTAAAAATACATTAATTTTAATTGGTTAAATGAAAGTAAATTAAGCATATATCGTAAACCGCTAACCCTAAGAGGAATCAAGAATAGATTTCGTCACCTAAACGTAAGGATTGCTAAGATTACTTGAACCATAAACTCGCATTATCTGTTTCTAACGAAATTCACAGTAGTATCTCTAAGAAAGCGCTCCATTGTCCTCTAGCGAATTCTTAAAATACTTGATGGCCTCCATTTACTAATGGAATAAAATTGAAAAGAGGAAGGAAAAGAAAACAAGGTCCTTTAATTAACAAGAGTAATGTTGTCATTTTCATCGTGCTTATTTGTGTTTGTCTCGTGTGTCAAGAGTGACAATAGAAGCATGCCAGAAAGGGCAAATACAACGAATATAGAATGGGACATTCTATATAGACGCCCAACTTCTTCACGTTAAGTCTCAGAATATAGCAGATGATACCACTGACTAATAGCATTTTTGGCGAAGCTTTGAAATCAGCTTATTTTGAAAAGTATTTTTCTCAAAAGTAAAAACACTTTTAATGAAAAATAATTTATATTTGGCTAGTTAATTTTAAAAAGCACTTTTAGACGCATTAATATTTGATCAAACTTTTAAAAAGTGCTTGTAAATGCTACTTTTGTAGCTTTCTCAAAACCAGTTTTTTCTTCTACTCAAAAACACTTTTTCCTTGAAGCTTGGCCAAACATAACTTTGAAGAAAAATACTTTTGGCCCAAGAAAGAACTTGGCCAAACAATGCTACAAGTCTGAGTCAAGATGCATTGCATATTTTATGATATGATGAAGAATTCTAGTGCACGTCACCTTCCTTTTCCAAGTTGCTTCCAGTGGCGGATTTAGGGGGGGCGCAAGGGGTTCACCCGAACCCCCTTCGCCGAAAAAATACAATGTATATATAAAGCAAAATCTATTTTTTACCTCTATATATTAAGTTTTGAACCCTCTTAACACAATCTAAAAGTGTAGTTTAGTGGTCAAGGGGGATCAAAATCTATATAAGGTCATGAGTTCAATTCCCACTAGATACAAAAAAAAATTTTTGAACCCCCTTCGTGGAGATCCTGCCTCCGCCACTGGCTGCTTCCCCTTTTGGCCTCTGATTTAACAGAGTACGAGGTACAGAGAGCTTTTGAGAAAGCAACGAGACAAACATACGCGTGATTCATACTGGGTGATGAACCAATTTGGCAGTCCTAAAACGTGGAAAAGATGGCACTGTAAACAGCAATTTCAAGAAGATTGTCAATGCATGTCAGAGTCAGATACAGTAGTAAATACATTTTTTTTTAAAAACATAAAAACAATGTAAATGAACACGGGAGTTTTCGACTTTCAGTTTTGCGCTGTAACTCAGATGAGGAGGAAGCAGGACAATGACCACTTCAGGCTTTCTGTCCACTGCACAATGTTACCTGATCTTTGTAATGAGTTGCAAGTCTGCAAGCACTCGAAAAAGAGTCATATATTAGACATTTTCTTTCTTATTTTCGAGGCAATGCAGAAGTCAAATACATTATAAAGTGCAATAGAACCTCGTTACTGAAAACCTGAAAAGTTACACTATGGAAGAGAAGGAGAGAGGATGGAGGTAATAAGCAGATCTTGCGGTAGCAGGTCACAGATACACTCACGCAATGTACTATACAAGTGCATAGCATTCTCGCCAAAGGAATTAGACCTCAAATCACTGTTTGATTAAACAGAGCCTCTTGGCATGTACAAACTCTGCCCCTCTTCAAATCTCCATTCTTATTTTTGCTGTCTTACGTGGAAGTCAAATGCGTACTAACACATTTGCGATTTGAGACCTTATTCAAGTTTTCACTGGACTGGACGGTGCTCTCAATTACATTTTGACCTGAAATGAACACTTAGGTTAGCCCTTCTACGTTTCCTTTACCATATTCTTAATTCTGCTTTCCACGTAGAGATTAGACATATATAAACGGACATAAATCGCCAGACAATACAGATATTCATGCAACTGATATCATGGGTACATGCAGTCTCTCTCTCTCTCTCTCTCTCTCCCGGTGGCTGTCATATTCTTATTAGTATTTCCATCCAAAAGCTTAGCCAACTACGTACATTAACATCAATTGCTTGATAGCATTAGGTAAACTAATAGCAAGCCTCTAATTCTCTTGTTTCCAAGCAAACAACCTTTAAGGAAGAACTAGATATCCTTGTCCTCATGCTATACAGCAACAATCATGAAGCGGGTTGTTGGGAGATACCAGTATGTATCAGCCAATTAGTATCTGCAGGCAGCAGCCTACAGTTGTGATCCTCACAAATGGCACCATGGTTGTATGTATGAGCCATACAATTGCAGTATTCAGTCATGGTGAATAAACTGCAGAAATTGTTCTGACTAGGATGTAATATACAGGGAAAGTTCTTGCAAACATCAACTATTAGCTAGAAGCATCAAGAAGGGGAGAACGCAAAACTAAAGAGCATTCCATCTAAAGTCAAGTGCTGAAATATGCACCAACGCATGTTAAATGAAGGATATTTAAGCTTTACCCACACACACACACCCTTCCACGGCAAAGAGAGAAAGAAGGGTTTTTTTTTATT